AAATATATTATAGTATTATACACATGATGACATGATCAAAATAGCAAGATCTCACGCGCATGCACCTGCGCTTCGCTCTGATTGGCTGAAACTAAAGTCTCAATATCTTTCTCGTTTTTGGACAAAATCCTTCGACATTTTGAACATAATCATTCAGTATGAAGATCTACAGCACGACATACAAGAATTATCATGAAAGCATGCGCATGCATGTGTGCTGCAATCTGCTTGGCTGAATCTTTAAATGCCTATAACTTTCTTAGTTTTCAACAAAAGGGGATGAAATTTAGAATATGAATAGGTATAATGGATCCCCACATTATGCTACTATCAAAATTGAATGCAAGGGCATGCATGCACATGCGCAAAATGATTATACTTAAAACATGGTAACATTTATATTTGTATCATTTTTTTCTTGATTTTAAGTATATAAAAATATGTTAATCGTGTATCCAACATGCCATGATCATCTTGTATACGTATGAACATGCGCGCGCATGCAAAACGATGAATGACATTTATAATTGATATCATTATAACTTTTTTATTCTTAAATGAAATCCTTCGATACTAAGCAAATAAAAAAGTCTTACAGGAATAAGGCACAAAAAGGAATTTGGGGAGCGTTTGGGGAACATCTATAACGGTTCCCGTTACAATTAACACTAATTTTCAATGGTTTGACTCTCCCAAAAGATAATTATACCTCTGTGTAAAATGTGGGAAAAGTTCAGGGAAGAAGGGACTTTTTTAAAAGTAAAAAACGTTATTTTTCGACCCTCATTTGTCACCCCCCCCCCCCCAGGGGAAAAATGAAAATTCCGAAACTTAATCTGCTCATCTACCTGACGCCACAAACTATCTCCCAAAACATGATTAGGCTACTGCGTAAAATGTAGCCGGATTTCAGCGAAGAAGGGTGTTTTGCATAAAAACGTCGATTGTCGACACAAAGAACTATATGCGGTATTAACCAACATTTGCCCCCCCAAAATCAAACTTTGATGGAGTAATATTTAATTAAGTCCTTAAACAGGGAAGTATATGCTGACTTCAAAGAACAGACTAATTTCATAAGTAATGATGTCATATGTACGTAACGACGTCACAAATATGACGTAATTTCAGTTTTTTATGAATTTTGCAGAACAATGTACATATTTCGTCGATATTTTAAATAAAAGTCACCGAGCGCATGCGTGTTCAGGATAAATATTTTGATATAATGTGTAGAATGATAATATCAATGAAATATGTCAATATTGTTCCTGAACACACATGCGCTCTATAAATTTTAAAGCTTAAATTGTTGAAATTTTGTCCATTTTGTCCTCTTTCTGGAAAAGGATATAAAATCGGACTAGTTTGTGACGTCATAAAAACAGAAATTGTGAATACACTGCTCTGGAACTATAATATTTTCTGTTAACTTATATTTCTCGTACAATTTATTGAATTCAGCACATTTCAGGAAGTTTTCAAAATTTGACTTTTGTGGGGGCAAACATATGCAATATACCGCATATAGTTCTTTTACCCCCCCCCCCCCCCTCCAGGGCAAAATAAAAATTCTGAAACTTTACTGCACATCCACATGACACCATCAACCATCTCCCAAAACATGATTAGGCTACTGTGTAAAATGTAGGAGGAGTTCAGAAAAGAAGGGACTTTTTTCATTAAAAAAAACGTCATTTTTCGGTCCCCATTTGATCCCCCGGGGCAAAATGAAAATTCTGAAACTTTACTACACATCTACATAACCAAAGCAACAATGCTCCAAAAGATGATTAGGATACTTTGTATAATGTAAGAGGAGTTCAGGGAAGAAAGGGCTTTCTTCATAAAAAATGTCATTTTTCGACCCCATTGAACCCCCCGGTGCAAAATGAAAATTCCGAAACCTTACTGCACATCTACATGATACCAACAACCATGTCCCAAAAGATGATTAGGCTACTGTGTAAAATGTAACAGTAGTGTGAGGAAGAAATTGTGACAGACGGACGGACGGACATGAGTAACAACAATATACCCGAACTTTCTTTAGAAAGTGCGGGTATAACTAGAAAAGTATTGAGTGTTGTGTCTGATCTTAAGAGCAGTCAGGATGGTATGAAAAGAATGTCTGAGTCAAAAGTTGATAAACTGAAATTGGAACTGATTCAAAACGTAGACAATAAACTTCGAGCCCTGCCTGACGAGCTGCCCATTGACATAGCTAAAGAAACCAAACGTACTGATGAAGTTGTGAACACGAATGGTAGATTACACAGAATTCATTTCAGCGCTTAAATCAAGTTGGGTTAGAAGACTCATTCACTCAGGTGCAAAATGGGTAAAGTTGTTTAAAGTTGAACTAAAAACAGACGTTGAAAGCTTGTGGATAAGGGGCTCAGATTACATTCTAAATTTAACAAAGAATTTAACAAACAAATTTTGGAAAGAGGTACTTAATTCCTGGATAAGAATTATAAATATAAACCAAGAAAACAGAACATATATGGAATAATCCACACATAATGATTAACACAAAATCTTTTTTCTGGAAAAGCTATTTTGATGAAGGCTTTGTCTTTTTAAATTACCTTTTTGATAATGATGGTAACTTCTGAAGCTTTGACACCATAGTAAACTCAAAAGTGAAAACAAATTTTGTTGAATATAATGGTCTTAAAAGGGCTATATTAAAAAGACTGAAGTATGCAAGGATAGAGGAAATTAAAAGATTAAAGACTATCGGACCAAATATTCCAAATTCAATTTTCATGTTTTATAGAAGTAATAAAGGGTGTAAAGATATGTATAATATATTTATAAACTAGAGGTACTGTGAGCGATGAGCTCACTAAATGATACCCCCCGCCTCCCATATGGTTATAACTGGTGAAAAAGTCCATGTTTTCCTGTGGCCGGGAAACCCAAAATATGTGTCGGATCAAAAAGTAAAATAGGAGGTGCACAAAGGCAATATGTAATAAAGATTCTGTGAAAGTTTCATCAAATTCCATTCAGTGGTATGAGAGGAGTTACGGATAAGAGATGGGTACCCTAAAGCGTAACAGACGGACGGACGGACGTACAGACGGACGGACGGACGGACGGAATTAACGATTACTATATACCCTCCCGCTTTTCAAGCGGGGGGTATAATAATAAGAGAGAGCCAATCAGCTCTGTTTTAAAATGGAATGAAAATAATGTTTTCTTTGATGAAGCAGATTGGAATAAAATATTTGAACTTCCTTTCAAAGTTAATCAGGAATCCAAATTTCACTGGCACCAGTTTCAAATTTTACACAGAATTATTCCAACAACTTACTATCTTTTTAGATTGAAGTTGGTTGATTCACCAGCTTGTACATTTTGTTTAAGTGACATAGAAACAATTGACCATTTGTTTGTAGAATGTTTTAAAATAAAAGAGTTATGGTGTAGGATTGAAGAATGGGTTTTGGAAAATTTTGAGATTCATTGTAGTTTTGACAAACAAGCAATACTTTTTGGTAAATATGAGCAAAGGAATATATGTAAATTACAAAACTTGATAATACTTATTGTAAAACAATTTATTTTTGCTAGTAAATATAAAAGTTTTCCAAAATTAAATATTGATATCCTATTAAAGAGGATTATAGACAGAATTTTTATAGAAAAAGTTTTGTTATTACAAAGTTGTAGATATATGGAATATGAAAGGCGCTGGCAAAAAATCTGTGATGTACTACTTTAAAAAAATCATCTATTTTTATGATGAAATGTAATTATGTGCTAACTCTAAGGATTTACATTATTTGATTGCAAATATATAAATGCATTATTCTGCTACTGCTGAACCCCCCCCCCTCTTTTTTTCTTTTTTATAAAACAACTTTCACTGTTAAGTAAACTTTGTACTTTTGTAAAAGGACAAAATTATCAAGAAATTCACCGTGTACATGTATATGTCTCTTTATGTTTTGCTTATATATATATATATATATATATATATATAGTTTGCTTTGTATACTTGTGAAAGCCAATAAAAAAAAGGTTGTGAACACGATTCACTCAATTCAGAGTCAATTAAACAACTTAGAGGAACAAAGTCATTCTCCACCTGGGAATTTAAATACTCATAATGATTTCATAAACCCGTTAGAAAACTAATTCTCTTATACCTCTGCATCATTTAATTTTTAAACAATGTATTATTAAAATATTTTCGCTTTTTTCGATCAGTATGGTTTTTAAGGAGTACTTGAATTACATTATCCAGCTCGCCTTTCGGGTTCGGTGAATTTTGCTCTCCTCAGGTATTCTGAGAGACTCCTAAACAGTAATAGTGTCTGTACTTGTATAATATTTATGTATCTTGCAAATTAGATTAATAAAGAATTGTTTTTTTGAATTCAATGTCCTAAAAAGGGGGTATGTAAAACACGAAACGACAAGCACGATTGATTGATTGCAATGTTTTTTTAACATCCCTTTAGAGAATTTATCACTATTATGGAGACTCCACCACTCACCAGTGGAGAGTTACAAATTTTGTCCTATACTCGCCCCTCAGGGCCATTGCGCAATGACAGATATTTTTTGTGCTAGCACCTTCTGCGACATGGGACCTCGGTATAAATGGTCTGATCCAAGTACCAGTTTCCACAGTGGAATCTGAACCCGCGATGTAAATATCGGCTGCTTACTTCGCGACTGGGGAGCAGACGCTATAACCGCTGCGCCACCGGGCGACTGCAAGAAACAATAAACGTGTACTAGTATCGAGAAACAATGAATGAACGTTAGACAAAGAGGCGATGGGAGTGGCTTGTGCTTATGTCCTATGTTAGATATCAGATGCACAGTAAAATGAAAACGTCTAACTTAAGTTAGACTTATAAGCAACCTGAGCAACATGGTACACAGAGAAACTCTAAAATGCTTACAGATATAGTTAATAAATTCAAATTCTCAGTTTTTCGCTTATAATAAAAAATATCGCCAATTGCTACATGTACCTGTAATGATAAACTAACTGAATGTATTTCTGCTGGGATACTACATAATGGTCCATTTTTCTATGTTTGAACTCTGTCAAAAAGAGTCATCTGTTACAGATCATTAGCTTTGTACCATCACAAAGACAACCTTTGTGATTTAGTAATTCTGGTAAAATTAGCAATGAAACAGCCACGATCTATTTCAGTAACAAACAAGGCTGCAAACCTCATTTTTGGCTGTACATGACGCAAATTCTTTACTTAATGAATCCACCATAAATTTTTAACTGCTGAACAATCGAAAAATAATCTTTGATATTGAGAATTTTGTTAGTAAAACTAACCGACATTATCAGGATGTAGAAGTTCCCCAGTAAATGTTGTGTAAATCTGATCCGCCGACCCATACATTGTCTGGTTGGAACCTTGGTGTCCCTTTAAATAAACTTTGTCTCCAACATTTAAATGTAAAATGGCGGTATTTCCTGCATCTGCATAACCATTATGGGTATACGCATAAACTGCAAAAATAAGTTATTTATTACAATGCCACAAATTCATATTCATAAAATTAATATTTATTGGTTATACTGAAAGGTTAAACTTTATGCCTGGTCGTTAGATAGACTATAATCGAATAATTGACTGTAATTGAATCATTGAAAAACCAATCATTAAATTGGCGAAATTGGTATTAGATGTTGAGTTCTTCACAACTCATTTATGCTTTCCTAATCATTTTATATGGTGCTAATCATCAAAAGTATATATGTTTAGTATCAGTGAAATATTAGAAATCTTACTCGATGCAATCAACTCGTCGTTTTTCATCATTTCAACCCAGAGTCCCCAGTTATTTGCAGTTAGTCCATGGAATGTGAAAGCGTAGAGACCAGGGGTCTGACAAATAAAGGATCCCTCAGAGTCAAAATGGGCTCCGATTTCAGTTATTCTTTTGTTGAATGGAATTTTTTCTCCCTTTGTCAAATGTAAGTGTGTTGTCTGGCCTTTCGTGAAGGCTGTCGGTGTCTGGGTATTATGTGATAGGATTAGGTCATGCACTTCTACAGCAAGGTAGAAAAATAAAATTGTTTCGTTGCTCTCTCCCGACTGACTGACCAAAATTGGCCCAAATCAAAACATTTTTGGCATTCCAGGACACGACATTTTTTCTGTTTATTCCCGTTAACAAATATGGTGAAATTTTCTGGAAAAAATTCCCTCCTACCTACCGACCCAGTAAATTTACCCCAAGTCGGGGAGAGGGCAAGCAAACATTAGTTTAAAGATGGCCTGAGTATGAAGTAGAGAACTGAAAAAGAAACATAAACACAGGACCTTTAAATTAACATTTAGAAGTACATCGATGCGTTTATGTGACAATAAAAGAAAACTGGCTTGGACCTTTGATTGATATAAATGACCTCCAAATATTAAAATTGACCGTTGGGGATGAGATCTCTGACCTTTCGTACACTGTTCCTTACTCTGATTTTTCTCTACTAAAACGATGCACATGAAGTTATTTAAACAGAATGGTCCATGCGTGATCCCAGTTATGTTTTTATTTGAATTAACAAAACACATGATATAATAAGTATGTGGTTGACAGTTAGAAAATTATGGTTGCATATTTCTGCCCCCTACATGCAAGATAAATTATGTTAACATGCAACATAATTATGTAGACATGCAATATATTTATGTCAACATGCAAGTTAATTATGTTGACATGCAAGTTACCAATCTTATAGGAAAATATAATTTAAATATGGGTAAATTTACTTACCAACGCCTGTATCTGACATTTTAGCTGCAATATGCAACATAATTATGTAGACATGCGACTATTTTATGTCAACATGCAAGATAATTATGTCAACATGCGACTTATTTATGTCAACATGAAAGTTAATTATGTCAACATGCAACTTATTTATGTCAACATGCAAGATAATTATGTTAACATGCAAGATATGTAAGTTTATATGCAAGTTATTATCTTGCATGTTGACATAGATAAGTTGCATGTGAACATAAATATCCTGCATGTCTACATAATATCTCGCATGTTAAAATAAGTATCCATCATGTTAACATAAGTATCTTGCATGTTGACATAATTAAGTTGCATGTCTACATATTTAACTCGAATGATTACATAAATATCTTGCATGTGTACATAATTATCTCGCATGTTGACAGAAATATCTTGCATGTCAACATAATTATCTCGTGTTTTAACATAAGTAAATAGCATCTTCTCTTAATTATGTTGCATCTTGCATCTACGATGTCAGATACGGGAGTCAGCACGGGATAATACCCATATTTAAATCAGATTCCATTAGAAGATTTGTAACTTGCATGTCAACATAATTATCATGCATGTATACATAATTATCTTGCATGTCTGCATAATTTTCTTGCATGTTAACATAATTTATCTTGCATGTAGGGGGCAGAAATATGCCATCATAGAAAATAGACAATGACGGTCAATTTAGTATTTCTGATATGTTGATATCTTGTGATCTTTGAAAATCATTATAAAAATAAATTCCAAGAGTTTAAGTATGATTTTTTGATGACGAAATATCTGAATACATGTATTTGAATAATCCAAGCCTTTCCAAAGGTGGAAACTCTTTCGTGGATATGCAAGATATAATGATCCTAAAGCGTCAAAGAAAAATAAAGTTAGATTACAAAAAGTAAAAACGTTACTTATTTTTCAATTCTTTGGACGATATATTTGAAGGTAATGTACAGTATTCATGCTAAAAATCCATGCATTAAGCTGTACACATCAGGAGCAGAGCAAATACAGACTTTTAAAACATCAGAGAAAGCATATGGTAGAATGGAGGAGTAAGCATCCCCTGATGATCGGTCACACCCAGCGTCCGATCATGACAAGGCGTGACCGGTCGGCCGTGGATGCTCCATGGCACCTGATCAAACCTCCAATGTTTTTGAGGTCCGTGTTTGCTCTACTCTATTTTGTATTATTTTATGGACTTATAAATATATTTATAGATATTTGTATGGATTTTATGGATTATTTTATTGATCTTAAATACTGTTCGTTATCTCCATATGTTCACTCTGACACGACCAGGAATTTTATGTTCATAAACACCATAATTAAAAAAAAGGAATAAAAATGATTAAGGTTTTGAAGCTATCTACCTTCACCAACCGATCACCACCACAAATAAAAAATGACTGCACAATACATTGCTGAGGCTTTTTGTCCGTTTAATTTTTACTATCCCGTGCCTGCCTGGTTAAAATTGGCTAATAAAAATGGTCATTTTTTACCTTGTTAGCTCTACTGGTCAGAGACCAGAAGAGCTTATGCAATAGTAATGCGTCCGGCGTCCGTCCGTCTGTCTGTCTGCCCGTCTGTCTGTCTGTAAACAATTTTTCAAAATGCTACTCCACCTACAATTTTGATCTGATTTCAATATAACTTGGCACACCAGTAGACTACACTAAGATACATAATTCTGTTTATCGGTTTTTGATTTGGATGAACGGTGTTGCCGTGTTTACTAAAAATAGAAATTTCTGTGAATTTTTTTCAAAATTTTACTCCTCCTACAGTTTTGGTCTGATTTCAATAGAACTTGGCATACCAGTAGACTACACTAAGGTAGATAATTCTACATATCGGTATTTGATTGTGATGAACGGTGTTGCCCTGGTTACTAAAAATAGAATTTTTTTTTGAAATTCTTTCAAAATGCTACTCCTCCTACAGGTCTGATTTCAATATAACTAGGCACACACGTAGACTACACAAGTTACATAATTTCCTGTATCAATTTTTGATTCGGATGAAAGGTGTTGCCGTTGTTACTAAAATATAAATTGCTGTGATTTTTTTTCAAAATGCTACGTTTCCTACAGTTTTGGTCTGATTTCAATATAACTTGGCACACAAGTAGACTTCACTGATACACAATTCTGCATATATCGGTTTTTGACTTCGATGAACATTATTGCCTTGGTTACTAAAATAGAAATTTCTGTTAAATACTTTCAAAAGGCTACTCCAAATACAGTTTTAGTCTGATGATAATATAATGTGGCATGCATGTAGACTACACTTAGAACATAAAGAGACTTAATCAAGGATCATTATTCTATTTATTGCTGTTTTAATTCCCAACTGCTTTAGTACTTTTCTCTTCCTTTGCTATAAGTACAAACCAGTAGAGCTTCAGTCTCGACAGAGACTTCTGGTTTTTAAAATTTTATTTAGTCCAGGAAAAATTAGCTATGCATATGTGTATAGCAAACTAGTTTTAATCACATGACAATCATCTGAGGTCAATCTACCTCTCTTTCCAATATGTTAATTTGAATAAAAATACATGTAATAAAATATCAGATTACCATATAATCAATTTTGAGCAATTTTGATCACTCTATTTTGTTTTAAGTTTTGATTAATATCATCTTCGCTTAACAGTTTACATATTTTGTCCAAAGAAATATTCACCTGCTATATATTTGATCCTTTAAAAAATTAAAATATAATTTTCTGCTGACTGTTAATTAAGACCCTTGTACTTCGTGATATAATTGTTCTCAATACATAATTTATGTTCACTACAAATTATACATGTTCAGTATGTCATACATGCTCACTATTTGTCACGTATGCTTTGGAAAGAAAAGAGTTGATAATTACCCGATGGCAATAGAAATAATATGCTTATCCAGACTGTAAGCATCTTCATACCTGAAAGCATACAGTTTAAGACGTAAAAACGTCAGTTTTGCTTTTGTAGAATTTTCCTCTGTAAAACTTATATTAAAATGTTTAATTAAGGGGACCGACTGGGGTTTTATTGTATGAAAACTACAATAGAGAAATTCTTTTTTTTTTTATACCATAATAACATTCACTTCAGCGTACATGCCATTGACTTGCATCGAACATGAAATTTATGAAATGTTATTAAGATACTGAATAACAAAACAGCACAGCACCGCAGATTGAACGGCAATATGCTTTTAAAAATAGGCATTTACAATCAATAAAATGTTTTATTATACTTCTGTTAAAATTTTTCCTATATTAAATTCAGAAGGTAAAATAACTATCTTTTATAGTTCACGCATAGCAAAGCTATACCCCGGGGTATAGTTTTTGCTATCCATCCTCGGAAAATTTTCATGTAATTTTTGCCGCCAATTTTGATTTCGAGTGATTATGTCATAATGACTTCAGTACATTGTGACGTCATCAGGATCTAAGATTTTTCTTGCAGTATTATCTTACTCCAAAAAATTCAAACCTCAGAAATTATATTATACATCAGTATAATAAAACGCTTATCCACTGGTTGTGAGTGGGATAGCTCTTTTATCAAACCCTTGACAGGGACTATTCCCCTCGGGCAAGCCCTCTGGGAATAGTTCCCTGTCAAGGGTTTGATAAAAGAGCTATCCCACTCACAACCAGTGGATAAGTGTATAATATGGATTAAAATTGTTTACAATTACATGATTGAATAAGATAGTTTAATGTATTAATACTCACTGTTCACTGTGTCTTCAGAGGACTGACTCTTGATATTTGATAAGACCTAAGGTTATTTATGTCACTTAAACAGGTGTTTTATATACCAGTAGTCCTACAAATTGTGTATGATTAATATAAGGTATACTTAATATCTTAAGTAATACACTTAAAATCAGGCTAGACAAATGAAAAGATTGTAAAAATTAAATGTAAAGAACCAAAATTCTTAATATGTATCCATTTGGGTACCTATCAGTTAAAAAATTGTTTAGAATCAGTTATTTAAAAATGTAATAAAAATTTTCAACCCCTTAATTTCTTAATTTTGTTTAGTTTTATTAATTAAGTGAAAAAAGTTGCTTTAAAACAATAAATACGCTTCAGTTTACAACGATGCGTGAAGAATTGAGGAATGGAAACCCCAATTGTTTAAAATCAGTTATTTAAAAATGTAATAAAAATTTTCAACCCGTAATTTCTTAATTTTGTTTAGTTTTATTAATTAAGTGAAAAAAAAGTTGCTTTAAAACAGTAAATACGCCTCAGTTTACAATGATGCGTGAGGAATTAAGCAATGGAAACCCCAGACAGCCCCACTAAATCAATATTTGATAATAAGATTTAGAGAATATTGACGTCCATCAACAATCAAATTTTCTAAAATTTTCGGCTATGATAGCGAACTTGACAAAAAGAAGTATAAATGACCAAGATATTGAATCCTAGTATGTTAACTTTGTAGGTTTTTTTCATTAACGTCCTTTCAAGATGTTTTTATTCTTCAAAGTGATCAAAATCAAGGTCCCGCAGTGGGTTTTAACCAAACGACGTAGGAAAAGTCTCACTCCGCGTCTATTGTTTGAGCGCTCTAACACTGAGTGGAGCAACGACCATTGTATTTAGTTTTATGTCTCTTGCTCTTCTCTATATCGGAGGTAATCCTACTATTGAACTCGACCAGAATGTCAATGGGTAATATCTTAAAAGACTTCAAATGATCTTTCTGCATGTCAAAAGACAAAATGGATAACAGATTTTTGTCAAAAACCTTTTTCGTGTTTGTTAATCCTTTACTTAATCTCCAATCTCCATATGTTTCATAAACAACCTAAAAATAATTAATATTCAATTTTTAAAATCTAAAATAGCTAATTCGATATAGAAAAGTTAAGGTATATACTCACGTTTTAGTTCTTCATTAAAAGCTAGATCCTAGGGAAAATTTTAAAAGAATTCATGAATTCACTGATAAGAACCTTATGGAACTGGAGTTTTATCTCGAAGATTACATGTACATTTTTATACTTCTACGAGGGTTGTTCGACAAGTTACGTGGACGATGTCAATCTTCGTTATTTTTCTCACTAGAAATAAAAAAATAAGCACAATATAATATGTTAATATATTTGTTTGGTTGCCTTGTGAAGTTTCATTCTATTCATTTTAAAATCACCCGCGGAGCACACTTAACGGCAAATGCAACGTCAAAACATAGCGTCAAGAATTTCTAAAAATTACTATCCCTGTACATTTCACCCAGTATAATCCAATGCCTACTCATTAAATTCTTTTTCTAATACTTGACATTCATTTTTTAAGAATTGCTCTCGTTGTATAATTTCTATTGTTAAGTTTTTAAAACAATAACATCACAGATAACTCAATTTATGCCGCAATGAGAAATCAACTTAATTTTACATCGTCGGATAATTACGGATTTTTAAAACCCAATCAAAATCTTTGATTTTGTTGCGCCATATTTGTTAGCCTGGTGCGGTGGAAAAAAATCACGATGTAGAAAGTTATGAAATAAATGCTTTTTAAAAGGGGATCCCCGTACATGTGGGCCTAAGATTAATTATTTAACTTCATGTCATTGAATTAAATGTCATAATCGACAAAACTGCATATCTGAGCTTGGTTATTTTTTACTGCACTATCAGGCTGATATTTCTCATAGGAGGCATAAAACAACATTATCACAGATAATTTGATTTCTGCCGCTATGAGAAATCTGTCAAATTTTACAACGTCGGATACTTACAGATTTTTTACCCAATCAAAATCTTTTTGTTTTTGTTGCTCCATTTCTGTTAGCCTGGTAGTGCGGTAGAAAAAAAACACCATCCGCCCTTTTTAGCTCTACTGGTCAGAGACCAGAAGAGCTTATGCGATAGTAATGAGTCCGGCGTCCGTCCGTCTGTCCGTCTGTCTGTAAACAATTTTTCAAAATGCTACTCCTCCTATAGTTTTGGTCTGATTTTAATATAACTTGGCACACAAGTAGACTACACTAAGATACATAATCCTGTGCATCGGTTTTTGATTTGAATGAACGGTGTTGCCGTGGTTACTAAAAATAGGAATTTCTGTGAAATACATTCAATATGCTACTCCTCCCACAGTTTTGGTCTGATTTCAATAGAACTTGGCACACAAGTAGACTACACTAAGATACATAATTCTGTTTATCAGCTTTTGATTTCGTCAAAGGGTGTTACCATGGTTACTAAAAATAAAAATTTCTATAAAATACATTCAAAATGCTACTCCTCCTACATTTTTGGTCTGATTTCAATATACATGTAACTTAGCACACAAGTAGACTACACTAAGATACAAAATTCTGTGTATCGTTTTTTGCTTTCGTTGTTGCCGTGGATACTAAAAATAGAAATTTCTGTGAAATACTTTCAAAATGCTAATCCTCCTACAGTTTTGGTCTGATTTCAATTTAACTTAGCACACAAGTAAACTACACTAAACTACACTAAGATACATAATTCCGTGTATCGGTTTTCGATTTTGATGAACGGGGTTGCCGTGGTTACTAAAAATAGGAATTTCTTTAAAATACATTCAATATGATACTCCTCCTACATTTTTGGTCTGATTTCAATATAACTTGGCACACAAGTAGACTACACTAAGGTACAAAATTCTGTGTATCGGTTTTTGATTTTGTCGAACAGCGTTGCCGTGGTTACTAAAAATAGAAATTTCTGTGAAATACTTTCCAAATGCTACTCCTCCTACAGTTTTGGTCTGATTTCAAAATAACTTGGCACACGACTAGACTACACTAAGATACATAATTCCATGTATCGGTTTTCGATTTTGATGAACGAGGTTGCCGTGGTTACTTAAAATAGAAATTTCTATGAAATGTTTAAAAATGCTACTCCTCCTACAGTTTTGGTCTGATTTCAGTATAACTTAATACACAAGTAGACTACACTAAGATACATAATTCTGTTTATCTGTTTTTAATTTCGTTGAACGGTGTTGCCATGGTTACAAAAAATAGAAATTTCTGTAAAGTACATTCAAAATGCTACTCCTCCTACAGTTTTAATCTGATTATAATATAACTGATTTAATATAATATAAAATCTACTCTTACTGTTGTAGTCTTATTGCAATCTTGCCACACAGAAAATCTTAATCAATGATCGTTATTCTATTTATTGCTGTTCAATTCAGTGGTGTAAAGTTTCAAGTTCCAACTGCAATTTTTCCTTTGTTATAAGTACAAACTAAGAGGACAAAAATGAAGAAAATGTTTTATTTTAAATCCCAATATTTGGCGAGGGGTAAGTCTGAGAGTGTATTATGAAGCACTACATCCTTCTTCTCTTCTCTGTTCCAGGTTCCAGTGCATCATTCAGTTGTACGGCGACACCTTTTCACGACATTTCTCCTGATAACTGTCTATTGGTAAGGGCCCTTGGACATTTGTCTTGCTGTGTCTCGACAGAGACTTCTGGTTTGGATTTTTTTGGTATTATTTTGCATTCTAGTCAAAATTTGTATTTTTTTTTAATAACTTGTCATACGTTTCGTGGATTGGCGCAATTGTTTACACGCCTCCAAGGATTAAGTCATTTATGTTATATTTTATGCATACGTATTTATTTTCATTGCATGTAAATTTCTAGTCAGTCTCGGGGGGATCACACTTGTACCTTTCACCTTTGTACATGCATGTATTCTGTACTGTTAAATTTTAGGTGATCCCCTTAATTATTATATTATACATTTTACTTTATGTCATTCAATTAAATGACATAATCGACAAAACTGCATATCTGTGTTTTGGTATTTTTTTTACTGCACTATCAGGCTGATATTTTTCATGGGAGGCATACAATTTCGTTTATTACTTATCTCTGCTTTCTTAGGATACGCAATCCTGAAGCGCACTTGTCTTTCCTTGACGTTCCAACTTTTTCAAGTTTTTGTACGGAAGTGTATTAGTGCCAATTGAATACTTCTTTTTTTTTTTAAATTCTATCTTTCATCTGTAACGTTTACACTTTAATCTGTAAAAATTACACTTAAACCTGAAAAATTACATTTTAATCCGTAAATTTCACATTTTAATCTGTAATTTTTATACTTTAATCTGTAAAATTTACACCTTTATCTGTAAAATTTATACTTTAATCCGTAAATTTACACCTTTATCTGTAAAATTTATACTTTAATCCGTAAATTCACACCTTTATCTGTAAAATTTACACTTTAATCCGTACATTTTCCACTTTAATCTGTAAAATTTACACATTAATCTGTAAAACTTACACATTAAATCTGTAAAGTTTACACATTTATCTGTTTAATTCACATAGTCAATTTGAAACTTCATACATCCTAAGCAACACATTCTAAAGCCAACAAACCATGATTCAGGCATGATAAAATTTAATTCTGATTTTTTATTTAACAGTAAATGCAAATGATAAGCAAATTAGTATGACTGATACAAGTAAGATTTTCATAGAATATTAGCGAAGAGCAAATCAAATACACAATCATGCATATATTCTCAATGAATATGATATTGATATCATTATAAGCAAATTCGTTCATTGCGCTCAGCAGTTCAGTTATTGAAAGCATTAATTGTATTACATCCTACATGTATAACCGGTGTAAAGACGAATAATGACCCCCCATCGAATAATGACCGACAAAAAATGACCCCCTACCCGTAGAGAAAAATCATTTTTTGTAGAAAAAGAGTCCTAGGGGTCATTATTTTATATATTAGTCCTATAAAATATTGACCCCTATTGAAAAATGACCCCCTTTAAAGTGATACAAAATTTATAACAAGTGAAAGGGGAAAATATGCT